GAAGGGATTGGTATGAAGCGGCGGTGATGCTGCATGGATATATGAGTACACATATGCAGCCGTATCTTCGGTAGCGGTTATTGGCAAGATGCCTACGGGAAACTCGTCCGAAATTGATCAAATCATTGGGAACGAAGGCTTTTTCTTCGAAGGATTTTAACGGTTCCACCCCCTTTTTTCTCCATTTTCCCCGAGGCTGAAATGTGAACTCTTTTTTCAGCCATCAAATTTTTGATACAGTAGGAAGTGAACTCTCCATCCTACTATATACATATAATCAGTCGTATTGCTGGTTGAAGCCGGCGCCCCTCCTTTTGTGACACGGCTCGACTTCGCCGCGCTTTTCCTTCCCGAGAGTGGAAGAAATAATTCAACGGCGAGCATTCCTCTCAACCGCTCAGTTCTTGAGTGCCTCCTACTACTGCAAGACGAAGGGTAATGTCGGAAGATTCAGTGTTCTACCATCGGAAAGAGAGCTTTGTCAACCATGCAGCTCTAACATGGGATAGGGAGTACTGAGAACTTCGCTGAAAAAAGCGGCGCGATGAAGCCGCAGCCGCGCCATCGTGAGCCAGCGATTGGTTTTCCAGATCAATAGAACGATATAATAATAGTGGGGCATGCAATTGAAGGAATGCCGGGGCATCACATAAAAAGAAACAGAGGTCTCCAATTTGACCCTCACCAAATTTTTGACTCTTACCATTAGATTCCTAGTGGTTCCGTTCCAAGCGCACTTATATCCCCCACCGCTCCGCTCGTTGTCGTTACGCGCTGGTAAGAGCGCACAGCTCAGTGGTTGATTTTGACCCACTTGACACACAGTTTACACACGGTGCCTCTTATATAAGGTCATCCCATTCAAAAATGTTATCCATACAAAGGTTTGATCAATACAAAAGGAAGAGGGAAACAGAAAAAAGTAGTATGTTGGCTTCAATTCAAGTAGGTCCCTCTTTCGTCAGTGACCCACTCCCAGGGCCCCGAAAGCGTTTGGACCTCTGGTACCTTCGCTTTTTCAACAAGTGCGAGTAAATTGCTGTTGATGCCAATTTCGGCGAATGACAAAACGTTGTAGTGTTTGCCGTCGAACGGTGTCTTCGGCTGACCAAAAAAGGTGAAATGGCACAGTTTATGTTGGGCGAATGACGCGTTCGGACTCAGATCCCAATATTTGTGTCCCAGCACTGTCCCTACAATACAGTTACTCGGGGTCTGGCACTATGACGAGCAACGGTGGCCTTCTTGTAGTTGTGTGGTACCATCCATTTGTCGATCTGAATGCCGAGGAACAGGCAATATGCACCGACAGTGACGGTTGGTTCTGTGTATGGAGCCCCAGTGCAGAAATCTTTTGCTATGATGATCATCCTTTGCGCCCACGTAACCCCTCATGGTAGAACTCGGGCGGCTTCTCATCTGCATTCATACAAAATTGACGATTGTGAGTTTTGGCTCGGAATTCAAGACCGCCCATATTTAATTTAGGGCCAGGAGGCGTTTCCGCGGTCGTAAGCGACATCATATGTGGAGAACGTCACTGCTTCAGGCATAGAATCGGTAATGGGTTCGTGCTCCTAGAAGAATCAGTGAACAACACACGCACACCCTCCTGACCATCTTCAATCTATCGTACATAACGCGGGCAGCAGTTGAAGCAGGGATGCCAACCTTCCGGGGGGGGGGGGCTCGTTGAGGGTCCAGCTTTTGTGATCAGACAATCAGCGCTTTTCTCCATCTTTCCACCCTTTTTTTGTATAGAACAATTTTTATGGGAAACAATTGTTTTTTCTTTCTTCCTTCTTCGGGCTCCTGGACCAAATCTTCCACCTTGCGTTTCGCGAACACCACTACACGCAACTACTGGTCCTGCATTAGTTTGAGCAGCGCCTCTTTATGACGCCTGGCATCGAAATCAGGCGCTGAATTTGATCACGTCGGGCTCTTTTCGACTTCTCGGGAACTTCTTCTATGGCTAGGTTTGCGAAAATTTCACAGATACATAGCTAAAGGTACTACCACCTAAATAGTATAGTGCCCGCTGCCATTACTGTCCCTATCACTGAATCTCTATGAATTGGTGGTAGGTTGTAAAAAGCTCTACCATATAAAGGAACTCGACCGAGAGACGCTCTTATATCCTCTTTCAGCTATTACTTTTCTTTTTACTACGTCGATTTCAAGTCTCCCTGTCTATATCACTTGCTCGAACCAACACAGGGCACAGCATTCGATGGGGATTTTGGTCGAGCTTTTACGACCCCCCCCTTTTTTTCAGGGGCTGGTACGACCCCCCTCCCAACAACGACCAAATACGACCCCCCCCCCTCCAAAACGTCCGCAAAGCGAGAAAAATCAACTATAAAAATAAATTTTTCCCAGCCCAAATACGACCCCCCCTTTTGGCGGCCAAATACGACCCCCCCCCCATTAGCAGGAATCCCCCATCGAACGCTGTGCCCTAAACCAACATCTAGCTGACGCTACAACCCGCATTATGAATATGGTGACCTTTCTCTTCTGACGCTCCCTATCAGATCTTATCAGCTGCTTGCAGTTCTTCTCACCCACCAGTAATGTTCCTGTCCCATAATATCATATCCTGGAATTAACGTACCACTGCTACTGTGACCCACGCTATGGACCTGGTGACTTTCCTCTTCTCTTTGACGCTCCTTATCAAATCTTATCGGCTGATATACCTTCCTGTTACCCACCAATAATGTTCCTGCCCCATACCCTACCTAATTCTTGGGACCAAAGTCCCATTGCTACTGGGACAGACGCGCACCACAGACGTTCTTAGCGGATTATGTGTGGTAGGATGCCAAGCATATCTATCTGTCTGTCTTCGTGGCTGCGTTTGTCACGAAATTCGTGGCGACCGTCCCAGTACTGGAAAATTGATCCCAAGGAGTGATATAGGGGCTGATGGGAACATTATTGGTGGGTGGTAGGGCGAGCGGATATTGCGCCTGAAACGATAAAACCCTTAACTTACGGTCCTCATCATTACGGACTTTCATTGCGGCACAGAGCGCTGCAATGTGACGCGACAGCGGTGACGGCGAGTCAGCTGATTTTCATGTAATTCGGCTGCGAATTCTCACTTTTTCGACTCATCGAGCTTCGACAGTGGAAGATGAGTTATAGGTCGGTTGCAAAAGAAATGCAGGATTTCGTTTTTTTGTATTTAATACTTATTTTATTCCAATAAAATGTAAGTGTTATATATCATTCGAAAGCTTATCTAATGCTCTTTCTAAATGATACTTCAAGATTGGTTGTAATTCTTTTTAGAGGCCACAAAATCGTTGAAGGCGTTTTTGACATCGTCTTGGTTTTTGAAGCCTTTCTCTCTAAGATAGTTGTCCAGATGCTTGAAAAAGTGGTGATCGGTGGGCGACAGGTCTGGTGAGTATGGTGGATGAGGCAGAGTTTCATAGCCCAATCCGTTTATTTTCTGGAGGGTAAATTGTGCAAAGTGTGGTCGGGCATTGTCGTGGAGAAGAGTCCGGAATCGTGGAGTCCCTTCATATTGACCAACCTTGGGCACATGCGTTGAGGCTTCTGATGCATTTCGTCGATTTGTTGACAGTACTTCTCTGCCGTAATTGTTTCACCAGGATTCAGGAAGCTGTGATGGATGAGACCGGCGGCAGACCACCAAACATGAAGTTCATCTTCAAGGCTGGTGTTGCCACAGCGAAACTTCTGGAACCAACGTTGGACCGTAGATTCGTTGACTTCCTTGACCCCAAACTTCGTTGATGTTCCGAGCTGTATCGGCAGCGTTTCGTCCTAGCTTGAACTCATAGAAGAAAATAGTGCGAAATTCACGTTTCGACATCTGCAATAAAATGTCAATAAAAATTATAATAAAATGAATTACAACCAATCTTGAAGTATAATTTAGAAAGAGCATGAGATGAGCTTCCGAATAGTATATAACACTTCATATTAAAGTAACATATTATTGGAATAAAATAAGTATGAAATACAAGCAAGCAAAATCCTGCATTTCTTTTGCAACGACCTAATATTTTGAGCAGTTTTAAATTGTACTGACTCTGAATGAATCTGAAAGAATTCAAGCCATTTGAATAAATACCTAAAATAAGGCAAAATACAAGGAAAAGAGCATAATAATCGACATAAAAATAAAGGAAATCAGAGCCAGTACAATTCAAAATTGTTCAGAATAACTCACCTTCCACTTTAGAAGCTTGAAGAGCTGAAAAAGTGGGAATTTGCAGCCGAATTCCATCGAAATCAGCTGATTCACCGTCACCGAGCCGCAGCCGCTGTCGCGTCGCCAGCGGTCTGTGCCGCCCACAGTCCGTGATGAGGACTGATAACTACACATGAGTATAGAGTGGTCTCAATCAAAACAAAAGTCCTAGGGAGTGTGCATTGTTCAAGGTGAAGAGGTAATGTTCGTATCGATGGTGCTATGTATGCTCTACGGAAGGTTCCCCGTATCACCAGAGAGTGACCTGTAAATTGACATAAAGTGGCATCCTCGCCCCTATTCCCCCCCCCCCTGTACGCCTAACCGTGCCATATTTCGCAACTATTACTGAAATCAATGCTTAAAATAGTGAACACTTTAGGTTTTCTTTCCTGGATTCTAATAAGCAACTTGGAAGGCAGGCCGTATAAACAGCAAACACCAAGGGCTATAAGACTCAACCCTGAGGAACGCCATTAAAGATCTAGTACATTAACGAAAGGCCATTCCCGCTTCGCATTTAGTTGGCACTATAGCTGAAGAAGGTTTCGATTCATCGCAGAACGCCATCATTCAAGCCGACCATCTCGACGCCTGGACTTCTTACAAACATTTCTACTTTCACGTGGAGTCGCAGCAGTTTCTGGATGTTTTGGATTTCGACCCGACTTGACCTTGACATGATAAACAGGATTTTCAAAATACGAATAAGAACATGTTACATATATAGTTTCAGGTCCCGCGAGAAGTTGAGCCGGAGAAGTTGGATATGACGCTTTTCAAGGACAAAGGACCACTAGTTATGAAAATTTCATACAGCGGAGACGTGGTACGACCATTACTCATCAGTTCGGTGAACACAGCTCACTATTGGTTTCCAGAAACACGCCCTGCAAGACATCCATTCCATGAGTCTCCAAACCGTAGTATTTGATGCCGCGCAAAACTCACTCGTTAAAATCGGGACCGAAGTTGAACAAATTGTAGGAAGGACAGAAGATACGCAGAAAAGCGCTGTGGGCGTTGTCCTCCAGTACTACACTTCGTAGATTTATTACTCAGCTTCGGTTTCTTGCAGAGTTTGGCATGCAAATCTTTCACATGCAAATCCTTTTCGGAACGCACGAAAACTGGTTCTGGAGAAAATGCCTCTGCTGAACCGCCGCGATGGTTTCCAGATACTGAAGACGAGGTATATGAATTTTTATTGAAACAATGTGTGAGAAAGACTTCATCTGTACCGATTCTTTTTTAGAACTTGACGACGTGCATCACAGCAACAGTATCTGAAAAAACAAAAACTGGTAGCAGTGAGTTAGGCTCTGCGGAAAAAATAGGCTCTGGAGAAAAACTACGCTCACAGTCAAGCGAAAATGTTGGTAGATAATTAACTCGAGCTTCAAGCATCCATTCTACGTTGTTTCCAGATCATCAAGTCGTCCATGAAAGCATCCGATGCTGTAAAGAGAAATTCCGGTACTTCCGTTACAAATAAAATATCACCTTCGACTAGTTTAAAATATACCCCACATTTTCCTTGAAATGTTATTAGCCTCAGGACTCATAACTGGAAGCATCAGCAATACGTAGAACCTTTTCCCGGCATATTCAGTAAAATTTAAATAACGCAAAATTCTTCTTAATTCTAGATTTTAAATCTGCAGTTGTCATCTTCTAAGAAATGAACCGTTTTTGTAAGTGTGTCACAGAGGAATTTCTTAGGATGAAGTCAGCAAACAACAGCATTCAGTTGGTGTACGTAACATGTAATCTACCGTCCCATTGATCATCGAAGGAGGGCACGCCGTTGCGTTGTATCAAAGCTCCGCTAAATGCGATACCCCCACCCCCCAAGAAAAAAGAAAGACAGGAAAGGACAAAAAAGGTTACCAAAAGAATGACCGGATTCTGAATTTTGAACTTTGCCTTGCCGAACCCTCAAAAGGGGGGGGGGTCGTAAAAGCTCGACCAAAATCCCCATCGAATGCTGTGCTCTGCCTATAAGTGTGCATAAGCCACTGTTAACAACCTGTTTCAAGTAAATATCCCCGTTGTGTCGTCGCTGAATTGAATCGCCATACCATATGTGACCCTTGTAGAACCAAAACAGTACCGAAATTTATGAAACTTCCTCTTTTGATAGGGGCCCCCCATTCTTCCCCTGCCCTTACTACCTGAAAAATTCCCCCTTTGTATTTGTTTCGCGCAGTCAAGCAGTTTAGGGGCCGAAATGGAAAAATAACCGTACCGCCGGTGCAAGTCCACCATACCTTTTTGCCTGAACCACTCCTGTTTTACCTATGATATCTCGCCTCAACAATGTGCCGGCCCTGGCCATTCAACTTTCTTGAACTTTGCTCGGGGGGACTGTGGATGGTTTTCTCACGTTGTGAGTTTATGGCAGGCCTGCAGCTTCTGTGCGTTCCTTAATAGACGGTATTGACCACAGAGTCTACGATTTGGTATCTTTTGCGACCGCCGGTAAGTGCACGCGACGACCGTTTTTGGTTCAACAGTAATTGGCGGAATCGCACAATTTTATTTCTTGAGACTTATGCGAGACGCTTTTGCGCCTGATCATTTATTTATCCAGGTACCTCCAGATTTTCCGCCGCACCAACTTTCGCCGCAAAAAGTCTCACCGTCACATGGATACGCACTAACTCTAAGTTCAACGGGATTATGAGTGGTGTCACCCAGTCAAAGGCTTCTCGCCTTCTTGTTGAAGGACGAGGCTATGCGACCCACAGTCGTAGAAAACGAATAATCACGAACGCATTATTGACTCGTTTTATCACTTCACTCGGCTTAACAAATGGTTTGAAAATCGAGTTCGGCACCGGCATCCCGTCACCAACTCATTCCGTACTCCGCCAACCGGGTCTCGCAGCGAACCACACTTATAACTTATCGCATGAGAAGAAGGTTTTGCTATCACTTGAAGGATACGACCGCGGCCCCCGAAGCGACCAACACTCTAACCCACTTTCCTTTGCTGATGACACCCCGCTTCCCAAAGCGCCAAATGATCTAGGCAACCAGCAGCGCATGCTGGCAGCAGGTTCCAAGCTTGCGCTTCGGACTTGCGCAACTGAACTGTCGGAGATGCATGTTTATGTGCGAACGCAGCTCTACTATTCTTGCTATCCCTGTTCTGGTTCATTTAACGGAACACTTTCTGACTGCCTCAGCTATGTGTCGCTTCGTTCGGCGACCATCAATTCTGAGAAGCACTTTCTTGAGCAGCCAAGTGCCTAGCCAGGCATGAGGCGAAACGGGCGCCGGGCGGGCTTCTAGAGTATCCAGGTCAGTGACGAAGAACTTTGTAACTCCGACCGCGGCTTGTAAGCGCAAATGAAAAGAGCGAACTTCGTGAGTTGATAATGTGAGAGTTTACGTTGCTGCCGCCCGTTGTTAGGTTGACAGAGGAATATGTTTTAAACCAGTCACTTCGGCCACTCGATAATTGCAAGGGCACCTCTGGGCGAGCTACATGCGACGTAATGGATACGCGTTAAAGGCTATCGTATCCATCCGTTACAATCGAGCGATTCAAGCGATTGTCGCGAGCACATGTTAGGTGAGTGCCCTGGGCTACGCTCCTTACACAGAATGACTTCTGGTTACTGCACTTCCACATAGAGGATGCGTTTGCCTTTAATGCTTCTGCTACTACTTTGGTCGCCAAGGATCCCAGGTGTTAGGTTGAAGGACACACTCCCGTCCCGTCCTCATGACACATTGCAGGCGATAAAAGTATTTGCTAGCTATCAGCCCCAGATGTCACGTGTCGTGTCCCCGCCCTAAACATGCCAGGACTGCGCACGGTACAGGGCCGTGAAACACGCTAATTCCTCCATGCTCCGCCCACTGCCTTTTTACGGCGCAGATTCCCGCCGTTCATAACATCCGTCGTAAGCGCGCTGTCGCGTGCGGCTCCTTGGCACTTCAAAGGTCCTTTAATTTGCGCTCTCAAACTTATCGACAGGGAAAACGCACTTTCCTGATGCGGAGTTAACATTTGGAGGTGCTTACAAAATTAGAGCGAAGATGATGACGATGTCCGCTCCGCGCTCCGCTCAGCCCTTCTGCCACATCCCTCGAGGCCGACGTATTTCCACGAACACTTTTTTCCCGCATCTCGTTGTTTCAATATCTTAGCACTAGACGTTTAATTTCTCTGATGTCGAATTAAATTTTAGTGTTCCTTCCATGCTCTCAAAATCCATGTAGAAGGGATGAAGACTACACAGGCCTAGAAAGTGAAAGCGCAGAACGCATGCTAAATGTATACCAAAACCAAAATATGATAGAAACCAAGGAAAGCGCAAATTAGATAATACTGGCCTGTAAATTTCTACGATGCCCGCCGCAAGCCATAGAAAAAACTCTCAGCACACCCACACACCCCACCACAACCCACGACGTGGGTACGCTTGAAGGCTGTTTTTTTATCCATGCTCTTATGGTACACCGGAGAACGAATGCGAACGGCCCTTTGATGGAATAGCTGACAAGATGCCAGCGACGCACCTGCTGACTGGTTACCTGCGTTCGACTCATCGATCTTGTAGTGCTCTTATTTATTGTAGTGACTTCCCAAATGTTCATACGGCATCAAGGAATTGAACCCCCAGTCTTTTCCCGCCTGCCTCCATTTCCTCGACCAGAAGCGCACCTCTACAGGCGCCCTTGGCAAATGGCAAGGAGCCGCAGCGCGACAGTGCGGCTGTTACGCACGGATGCTTACATTAACGGCGTATCTGCGCCGTAAAAAGGCCAGTGGCGGGAGCATTGAAGAATTAGCGGTTTCACGGCCCTCGTATCTCATTCTTCGGCTGTTTAGGCCGCGGGGGACACGACACTTCGTCTCTGGGGGGCTGGATGAGCTCTTCACTACACCCTCAATGTGCATGAGCGTACCATGTGTCTTTAGAAGACACTCCCGCGCATCAAGTGTTCGCTCAAAATGAGATTCGTGGTTTTGAAACTGCCTCTAGCTTGCGAAGTTGATTACCACTTTGGAATTCCGCCTCAATATTGCGGCGATAAGTGCAACTGTATAGCAGATTTCCTCAAGGCTCGCTAGGCGCTGGCCGATGACACGGTAGGGTGGACGAGTCCGGTCCCGAGCCTGCTCGTCCTTGTAATAGTTCCTATGTTTCTCGAAAGTCGGGGACGCAAATTCGGCTGCCGATTTGATTTCTTGCGCAGCCACCGTCCGGCACACTCGTCCAGGCCCCGCCCGCCACTCTCAAAGGAGCGTGTGTGTTCACGCCGTGCTTCGGCGAAGGTTTTTTTCGATTTTTTTTCCACTGGGGGGTTACAAATGGGCCACTGCTTCGTGACTGAGCACCAATTACCCGAACACTTGATCGCGGGAATTGTCTTTAAGAGAACTCCATTGTCTTGGAGATATAGGGCAAGACCGTACAGCCCTCCTTTTTCTGAGATAACGAAAAAGCTTCTAGTCAACGTTATGGACAAGCATGAGCATATTTACAAATTCTTCAACATAGATCCATAAAAACCAAAACCGAGACCGTTTACATCTGAATACGACAATCCAGTCGAAACCTCAAGTCTCAACGAATAAGGTCTATCTTGCAACTTCAACTGCAACTTCAACTGTCAGGCACAGGAGAAATAACACTTACAATATAGAGTTTCTGCTCAATTCAGTAAAAGGGAAAAAAAGGATTTCTTATTGCGAAGGGATTCATCACCCACAGAGGTTAACCGGAAACAAAGTCATTTTGCGTGAATCTCGGTGCAGATTAATCTTCAGAACATTTATAGTACCTCTTCCTACTATATATAATCCGCTATGTCCGTGCGTGTGTGTGTGATCCGATAACAGGCGTTAGAATTGGGAGGTCACCATATCCATAACGCGGGTCATAACAATAGCAGGACGTTAGTTCCGAGGTACGATATAGGGTATGGGACAGGAACGTGATTGGTGGGTGGCAGGGAGTGATATCAGTTGATAAGATCTGATAAGAGGCGTCAGAAGGGGAGGGGCACCGAGTCCATAGCGCGGGTCACAGCAATAGTGGGACGTTAGTTCCAAGGTATGGTATAGGCTATGGCACACGATTATTATTGGTGGGTGACAAGAAGTGCTAGCAGCTGATAAGATTTGATAAGGGGAGTTAGAATGGGAAGGTCACCATACTCATAACGCGGGACACAGCATCAGCTAGGCGTTGATTTCAGAAAATGATATAGAGTGGGAGATGAGAACATCGACGGCGGGTGACAGGAGGTGATAACAGCTGATATGGGCTGATAAGGAACGTTGCCGTTGTTGTTCAGTCAAAGTGTTGGGGCCTTTACACTACCAAATTATAGAGCTTTAGTGATAGGAACTGATGACGGGTGACAGGCAATCTTATCAATTGATAAGAAAGGATAAGGGGCCATTATCATTACATCTCCTACCACTATACTGCCAAGTATTGAAGGCTCAGTGTGCAACAATTACTGATGAGAACGAATAATAAGGAAGAAAAATACCTGCAATCCTACTATATATAAT